AGAAAAAAGGGAAAGACTGGGTGAAAAATGATGCTAGATTGAACCTAGATTGTACATCCTAGATTGTACATTGAACATCTTAGATTGTAGATTGCGAAACCTAGATTGAGAGTGAAAGTTGTTCGGTCTTTGGAATGATCCTTGAATTTTGTCTCAAAGTACAAAGATATCTACTGTCTCGTACCGATGATTTGATCACCGGCGTTAACTGTGCACACAAGTGTGGAATATAGTACATCTCGTAACACCTGCTACATTTTTCTACCTATTTAAACACAAATCTCACCGTCATGAGCCCTTTTTCAACCGTAATGATACCTTTGAAGCAAAAAGTGTACCAAAATGAATCAAAATATTGATTCCATGCCCATATATGGTCATGGCTTCTCTTACCAGAATCAATTTATTGATGCCTTCATATTTTGATTCAAAAGTCTAGTTTGCCCAACTGCTATAGCGAAAAAGTTATAAGCGAAAAACGTTTGGGATGTTTTAGAGATATGTTTACATTTATACCTTCCAAAAAAACCCTACCCAGTAAACATGCCGACGTCGGCCGACGTCGGGGTGACGTCGGCAACTCGGCATCGGCATGCCGACGTCGGCCCGACGTCGGCCCAACCTCGGCACGACGTCGGCTGGATGTCGGATATGCCCGCATGTTCCGACGTCCAGCCGAGAACCAGCCGACGTCGGACCGAGATCAATTGCTGTGGTCCAGCCGACGTCGGGCCGACGTCGGGGCGACGTCGGACCGACATCGGCCGCTGTTTTGACCGTTAAAATAATATAAAATACATGTTTCATGTTTCATAAAGAGCTTCTGTATTCAAAATATCCTCAGGAAACTCAAATCTTCCTCCACGCCGCAACCCCTGATCCGGACTGTGTAGGGATCATCTATGCGATTTGTCATTTCATGTTGTCATTTTCATTTATATTGTCACCGCTTTATTAATCAATCTGTTACCTGTTGTCAATTGCGCGTCAAGTTTGTTTGTTATTTCTAAACCGGCCTGCCGCTGGCCTCAACCTTCCTAGTAACCGCTGTGCCATACGCTATAGAACGTGTCGTGCAAAGGTCACGGCGGCACCCCTGAGGTGGCCGCTGCCCGTACCTTTACGAACCCATTGTCGTGACGTCATGCCTGTGAACAAAGGTCGCGGTAGGGGCTCTCCCGGCAGCCGGACGGTGACGCATACGTTGAGCTTGTTTCTCGCCGCGCCTGCGGGCATATTGGTATCCTGTCTATAGTCCGTATTTTATGTACAATAGTGAAATATGAAATTTTGTAAAGACACACTCCTACTCATCGGCTCAAGGCTTTGGAGGAAGACGGAGGACGAGGAAGCGAGGGCGACATGAAGAGCCCTGGTGGCTGACGAGTACTCGGAGTGCAACACGTTTCCCGATCACCACGATCGGATGACAGTAAACTGGGACGACCGTCTCTCCCACAGTTTACAACTGGACGGGAAACTTTATCCCATTTGGGATTGCCCGTAAGCCGAGCTCGCCCGTAGCCGGGTGCAGTGAGTGCTTGGGGGCTGCTCGGCCTATCCTTTGGTCAGGCTCAGCCCCGGCAACTCACCAGGGCCGGGCCCAGTTCATATAGAAAGGCCAGTCGGCAAGTGTCACTTTGCCAAAGTGCCACTTATCAAAGGGACACTTTGGGAAACGTTGGTGCAGGTGTGTAAGAGTGGCTATATGAGTCCATTGTGGGGTCGCCCTTTCCAATAAGTGTCACGTAACAGCAATGGGACTCTTTATGAACTGGACCCAGGGTGCTCGCCAAGAAGACCAATGTCTCCATCCTATGATCCTTCCGGCTCTGAAATGGTCTTGTCAGACCGAAAGGGCATAACCAACAAAACAAACCAGATTTGTTAGCTGGCTGCGTGGTGTAGTGGTTAGCGCACTAACCTCGCGTCCGAATGACACGGTGTTCGAATCCCGTCGCCGGCTGATGCTTTTGGCGTGTTGTCCCAGTAAACATGCCGACGTCGGCGACTGGGGGGCTCGAATCCCGCCGCCGGTTGATATTTTTGGCGCGTTGTCCCAATAAACATGCCGACGTCGGCCCCGTCGGTCCAACGACAAACAATCTCGTCAACCTCGGCAAACGATCTCGGCCCGACGTCGGCTCGACGTCGGCTGGACTTCGGGTGGACGTCGGAACATGCGGGCATATCCGACGTCCAGCCGATGTCGGGCCGAGGTTGAACCGACGTTGGGCCGACGTCGGGCCGAGCCTCGGCCCGACGTCGGGCCGACGTCGTCATGTTTACTGGGTAAATAGTGACCTAGATTCACCAAATTTTCACGGGGGCGAGATCTCCTGTGGGCCCACCTACCTACCCTGTAATTTTGGCGTTTCTGTGCCATAGGAGCCAATCGCCGGGGAAGAGGGGTCGTACTCGTGTCCCTCTCCCTCGCCGTCCGCGCTACACTGTAAAAAATATTGACGAGCTATGTGTCAAAACAAGGGTCTCGAAACAGTCACCAGGTTGTCAATGCTTCCGGTACCTACCACTTGACTAGTTACCGCTTAGTTAGCTTACAGGCTGAGAATTATCCAGATCGTTATGATCCGGTATTGTAATGATACCCTAGGACCTAGGTGTGCCTTTGTTTTGAAGTGCTGAATTAACTATCAAAGTTATTTGACGTTTGCTTTCGCCTCAATCCGAAACGAGGAAGACCCTCATCAAATTATTAGGTGAAAGCCAGCCTCAGGATGATCAAAATACTAGGGGTAGTTTTGTCATAGTGTAAGGGCGCTTACCGCTTTGACGGTTGGTAGTTGACTATAGGGGGTTTTCACGTGACGTCACAGCCGGCTGGCCCTTCGGTCGGCGCCATCTTTGGGGACAAGGAGGCGATTGTGGAATAGGCGCGCGGGCGGGAGTTCGATTGTTTATAGTGGTTTGTAGGTATCTTGCGTGGATTTTCGTTGTCCGATTATCACCCTGTGTTGAGATAGAACGATGGTGAAGTTTTGTGCAGTCTATGGGTGCAGTAACAGGTCAAACCGTGAAAGGGACAGGCGTTTTTTTAGCATACCAGCCGTAATAAAGCACAGTGATGAACAAACGAGAGTGCTCAGCCGGGAGCGACGAGCGAAATGGCTTGCAGCCATCAAGAGGAAGGATCTTACTGAGGAGAAAATCCGCAATGCTTCAGTATGCAGTGATCACTTTTCTTCTGGTGAGTATAGAGTTGACGTATTGAGATTGCACAGAACCCAATTCCTATCTTTATCTCACTGTGTGGTTCTAAGAAGATTTGACTTGTTTTAAGTGCTACACAGCTTATTATGTAACATAGTTTGACTTTGAAATGCAATGCAACAGCTTCAAAGAGCATGCTTTTGATGAACTTTTGCACTTTCAATTAAACACAATTCAAATTGCAGATAATTGCTCGCACAGATATTTGGGGTTTATGCTTTTGCTTGTTTGAACTAATCCCTATGTCATCTTTTCAGGTCAATCTGCAGTGCTGTATGATAAGACAAATCCAGACTGGGTCCCATCACTGAAGCTTGGACATTCTGAGGGAAAGCCTTCTACGTCTGGTGCTGAGAGGCACAAGAGAACCCAGAACCGAAACGCCAAGAAGCTCCAGGTGGAGGCTGAGTCAGCTGAGGTACAGCAGGGTGGAACTGGAGACTACAGTGCAGCTGAGACTTCAGCTGGTAGTGGTAATGGTAGCGAGTATGATGCCACAGCTGGTGTCAGTGCCGAAGTGTGTGACAGTGCCATGACTACAGTCGGCACTGAAACAGACTTGAAGGGGGACTATATTAAGAACCTGGTTTGTGACAACCAGCTTCTTCGAGAGCAGCTGAATGCTGCCAAAGCTAAATGTGAGCAGTCATCGCTAGATGAGGGCTCATTCGTCAAAAGTAGTGACAAGGTTCTGTTTTACACTGGCCTACCAAATTGGAATGTCTTGAGTTGTGTCCTGACTCTTGTGAGTGGTTGTCTCTCCCAAGCAGGTTCACTGACACCATTTCAGCAACTACTCCTTACACTCATGAGTTCCAGAAAAAGACCTAGCTTATAGGTTTGGTGTTTCTGTGTCGAGTGTGTCCAGGACATTCCTGCAGGTGCTGAATGTTTTATATGCCAAGCTCAAACCGCTGATAATATGGCCAGACAGAGATGCTCTCCAGAAAACCATGCCCATGTGTTTTAAGAGGTATTGTAACAGATGTGTAGTGGTTATCGACTGTTTTGAGTTATTTGTTGATCGCCCGCTCAATCCTCTGGCCAGGGCTGAGACGTACAGCTCGTACAAGCATCACAATACTGTTAAGTTTTTGATCGGAATCACCCCGCAGGGCACTGTGTCGTTCATTTCTGACGGCTGGGGCGGGAGGGTTAGTGATAAGCATATCACTCAGCACTGCAACATCCTTGACAACCTAGTCCCAGGTGACGTGATACTGGCTGACCGAGGCTTCGACATACAGGAAGCCGTAGGATTCTACTGTGCTACAGTGAAAATACCTGCTTTTACCAAAGGCAAAAAGCAGCTGAGTGGGATAGAAGTAGAACAGACTAGGCGCATTGCTAACGTGAGAATTCATGTCGAACGGATCATCGGCCTGATCAAGAACAAGTACCTTATCCTCAGTGCTAGTCAGCCAATAGACTTCATGCTGGTTCCAGACCCGACATGTGTCCCAACGCTGGACAAGCTCGTCACAGTGTGCTGCGCACTCGTCAACATCTGTGATTCTGTGGTCGCCACAGACTAGTTAGGGTAAGGGTGGTCATGTGGCGAACGAGATTGATTCCGCGGTTACCTGCATCATTGAGGAATCGTGCGGCGTGCCTGCTCATTGACATTGTTCATGCATCAGTGATACACAAATATATCGCGATGTGATCGAATCATTGGTGTTGTTTTATTATCAAGGTCGTGCTGGAGCAAGGTTGCGTCGCTGTATTCAATTATCCTTTCCAAAACTGGCAACTATTAATGATACGACGAAACAAATAGATAAGACATAAAATTGCGATCTCACGTGTATTACATTGCCACATCATTGCCACATAGCAGAATGCACAAGCTACTCGCCAATTCTAAATCTCACGACCTTTCCCTTCACGTAAACGGCGATGGACGAGCCAGAACTTTCAGAAAGACGTGACCCTGTCGCCGTCAGAGTGTGGAGATCTGTCGCCGGTGCAGGGCGGGGCTGTCCAGCTGTCACCGGCGGAGGACGGGGACCTGTCACCGTCGGAGGGCGGGAACCTGTCACCGTCAGGATGCGGGCACCTGTCACCGGCGGAGGGCGGGGACCTGTGACTGTCAGGATGCGGGGAGCTGTCACAGGCGGAGGGAGGGGAGCTGTCACAGGCGGAGGGAGGGGAGCTGTCACAGGCGGAGGGAGGAGAGCTGTCACAGGCGGAGGGTGGGGACCTGTCACTGTCAGGATGCGGGCACCTGTCACCGGCGGAGGGCGGGGACCTGTGACTGTCAGGATGCGGGGAGCTGTCACAGGCGGAGGACGGGGACCCGTCACAGGAGGAGGACGGGGATCTGTCACTGACGGAAGACGGGGACCTGTTACTACAGCTGGAGCTAGCACACTTTGAGAAGTGCCCGTGGCGAGGTCTGCGTTTTCCTTGTCTTTCACAGCAGGGCGCGAGTACCAGCGTCCTAGCAGCTCAGGCAGAATACAGAGCGTGACGAAGTCTCGCGCCAGCTGTATCTTCTCGGCGATGAAGAGCGGGTCCTTCACAATCCGTTCCATGTACACGGATGCTGCGTCCATACCACCAGATCGCAGTAGGCCGTTCCACTGCATTGCAGCTGGGCTTGCACCTGCAAAACAATTATGCATATCTGGATTATACGTAACAGAGCCGAGGGTTTCAAGCAGGGGTGCAGTTTCGAATTCAGTTGGGGGTGCTCAAGCCACCCCCTACTGGTGCTCGAGCAACCCCAACTTGGGTCAGAAAGTGGGCACTCTGACCCAACTTGTCAGAAAGTGGACCAAATCCCAGGAGAAATCCGGATTTTGATGTCACTTTGAGCGATTTCCACCCTCTGAGCACCCCCAACTTGTTTCGCACAACTACACCTCAGTATGAAGAAGTGGAAACATAAGTCATACAGTAAAACATACAGTTACAGTGTTAATTAACCGTGTGCAGAAGTCCTACAGTTGATAATACAGTGAGAACTGCACCGACCTGGTAGAAGTATGCATGATTCCTCTTCAGCTGGGTGCGAACGTTTCCTTCAGAGTCCACCTCTCTCTCGAACATGTTGTTCTCCATCAGTGGCAGTGGCCCAGTGTCGTCTTTGTGGCAGTAGGAACACTGGAAACATAAAACAGCAGTCAGTTGCTTGGTCTAAATATGTCTAGCACTGTACTACAGTATCATTGTACTACTCACTGAGTGAGTAGTACAATGGTACTGATACAGAGTAGTATTCTACTGTTGCACCTACTATGATGTAAAATTAATATCTTTAAAAATGATATACAGAGGGCCAGCACTTGCACTAGTGGCTCCAAATTAGATTTACATCTGTTTGCCATAGTTGTCAGGAGAGAGAATCAAACAAGTGGTAGGTATTACAACAAATCATCCTCATTCACCAAGGTTTAAATGACATTTTGAAATGAATGTGATGGGCAAACTAGGCCTTAGAAGAAAACTCACCTTGACTTCCACTACTCCATTGCCACAGCAGCTGCAGGTGACCAGGCTGTCTGGTGTGGCTGCCAGAAAGCCGTGCTCCTTGTCGATGAACAGCCCACAGGCTTGCAGCTCCCAGTCTCTGTGCTTCCCTTCTTGTAGGGCATTGTAGGCAGACAGTCCTTTCTGTTCATGCTTGCACCCCCACTGTGTTGGTTGTGACTTGAACTTTGACAGCTCTGGATAGCATATCCTCATGAGTAGGCTCATGGCAGGGGTCCTTGTCTTTGTCGTACACACAGCTTTGAATTGTGATGCCGTCACTCTCCCTGTTCTCATGGAAAACCAAACACTTGATTTTGCTTGTTTCCTTGTCTTTTCCTCCACAGTTTTTCTTTCCTTTTCAGTAGTGTCATAGATCTTCATCTGCTCTAGTCCCAAATCCACTAACTGATCATAGCTCAGTTCCATGTTGGCCTTGTCAAACACAACTCCAACAAGCTGTGGCAGATCACTGTGCAGACTTTCAGGGACATAGGCCTCAGCATATGGCTCGATCAGAGATAGCACTGCTGGCTTTGAGCCACTCTGTGATAGAGCCTTAAACAGGCTGTCCAGTTCACCCTGGCTTGGGCCATCCACAGGCATGTGATGCTTTGCCTTTGGTTTGCTTGTAGCTGGTGTGAACTGGATGTAGCGCAATGGCTTTGGCTGCACCTTACTGACAGCACTTGGCATCACCCAATATGCCTTTTTATCTGTGACTGTTAGGGAGTCCCTCTTCTTCACTCCTGCTTCAGCTGCCCACAGCAAAGATGCCACGTGGCTACAGCTCTCACCCAAACCTGCCATGCAGTTGCAGTGAGCAGTGTGCACACGACCTGACTCCCCGCACACAACCCACGGAACAAGAGGCTTCTCTGACAGCTTCTGAGAATGGTTCACCTTAGCTATCAGCAACACTTTTCCACCTGGAACTTTCCTTACCAACACTTCCCTCACCCAACCACTGACAAACTTCTGATAACAATCGAGATTCTTGTAGTCCATCAGTTGATCTTGTGTGTACGGACTACTTGAACAAAGAAGGTACATCCCCACATGTATGTAGCTCACAGATGGCCAGAGATCTACATTATCTTCCCAGTTCCTTACTGGTATTTCATACGGATCCACTCCGCCAAGATATATATCCAGCTTTTCTTTGTACCTCTTCCGAGCGGTGGCGTCTGCGATAGACTCAAAATAGCCTGATAACATACCACTTTCATCTTCAACCCTCTTTCTCTTCGTCCCAGGCATGACTTCAAACACTTCTGATTCACAAAAACTCCACAGATAATACGAAACTCCTCAATAAACCTACCTAACTTCGCCACTTCAACGCACTCTACTGTATACGAGGCGTTGATCTTGTCCCCCAAGATGGCGGCCGACCATATTTGGGTGGCGAGCCGTGACGTCACTGAAAACCCCCTATTGTCCGCGCCCAACGCCACCTACGTCGAGTACAGAGATGCGTTGGAGATATAGAGGTCAGCACCTGCTAGGGTTTGTGATTGATGACGAGAATAGATAGGCGTGGTCGCGTATTTTTAGTTAGAATATCTATGTGATGATTAAAATAGTCTTTGTAGTAGAATGTTCGGTGCATTTGTCTTTATTTATCGCGAAAAGTTTATTCGAGAAAAGGTTTCAATCTGAAAATGTTGTCGGTTATTCTGCTGGCCCTGTGTAGTAATAGAGCTGAAGGAGGATGGTTATCGATGTAAACAAAGGGAATATTTTCATGTTTCTGCACAAAGTAGCCTTGAGATGTATTTTGGGTATTTGCGACACTTCTCTTTTTTCCCGAGTGCTAATTTGGGAATGACCGATTCGCGCTTCGTAGATGTTTGTGGTAATATTGCGTCGGAGGTGTTATCGGTTTCTGTCTGGCTCTCGGTGTCACTTTGGATTTTGGATTGGTTTGGTGTATTGGCGCGGCGTGCTCTGTAAGTATTTGCGTATTTTTGGACGTCAATTTGCTGGATTATGTTACGATCTTAGGTATGTCACTTTTTATTCATGAATGTCATTGTGTAACTTTCTGCGATAAAACTGCGGCTATGATCCATTTGTATGTCAATTACCGTAGACTCATTGTTTGCGCCATGTTTTCCGTCTGCGCCACTTTCGTAAACGTGGTTCGTTTACCTGTCCAGGTGTATCACACGTACAGTCTGTCTTAAAAGTACCGCGCAAAGTGACGGTGGATCCATCAAGCCTGACTGAGGAAGGGGCTGCTATAATTTGAAAGTCACCGAACCAATTGACCTAGGGAATGGACGAGGATGTGAGCTGCTTCAGTGACTCAAATTTAGTAGGCCCTTCCTCGGTCAGGCATGATGGATCCACCGTCACTTTGCGGCGCGCGGTACTTTTAAGACAGACTGTACAGTGTGTCTAAAAAGAATGTACCGTCGCCGCTACGTGGCGCTGGTGTCACGAGCCGGTAGTTGGCTGAATCCGCACCAGACCACACATTCCCAGGCGCTAGGTGACAGCTGCGCAGCGGCCGGTAGTAGCGTAAGCCCGAACCTTCGTGACACGACCCCGGGGGGGGGGAGGGAGGGGAGCGGGCGGGGCAGCGCGTGTAGGGAGGGGTGCTCCAGCAAGCTGGCAGTTGTCGCGGCCAAAGGTCAAGGGGTCACACACCAAGCGAACGGACGCTGATGTGGGTTCGTGGGGATCATGAACTTGTGTGTGGTAGGTGCGTCTTGCGATGCACGGGTGATACGCCAGGTCTAAGCCAAAGGATTCAGGGGAGAGCTGAAGAAAACACCTGGTCAACTACGGCGAATAATAGTGCTGAAAAATGGAAAGTATGGGTCAATGCAAGCCTTCATGACTATAAACAACTTTCTGAGGACGCAAAGGCCAGCATTGAATAACGATATCCGGATCGAAATTAGCAATGATTTATAATTAAATTCCGAACTAATAGCGCTGCAAAACCCTCCTAGTAAATTGTCAAGTCGGATTATACCCACTTGAATTAAACTATCCTAAATAAAATTGTTAATTAACTTTCTAACACTGACGTTCTTTATCATACGATAAGTATGGGGTTAACCAAGATTCAGCATCTTCCGCGTTCAAACAATCACCTGTAAGGCTAGAACATTAATGGCCAGGTAAAAACATGGTCGGGATTTGATTAACCGGATTATAAGTCGATTTTTTTAGTCGGGATTTGATAAGTCAGATTTTTTACGCCAACCGCATTTTTAAGTCAGGTCAGGTCACTGATCTATGACGTCATAAATGAGCAGTCCTAAAATGAACTGTGTGAAACTGTCCTAAACTGTCCTCAACATTTTAGGACTGTGTGCACACTCCTAAAATGTTCAACTTCGCTACACCCTCAGTGCAGAGCTTTCATAGGGAGATGAAACTTACAGGATCTTATAGTCAGGGGCGGATCCAAGGGGGGGGTCACATGGGTCATGGCCCCCCCCTTGAGGCCCGGGGGCCCAAAGACCTTCCAGGGGCACCACCGGCCTATCAGGGGTATCACAGTCCTGACAGGGGCACCACAGGACCGCCAGGGGCACCACAGGCCTAGCAGGGACACCACGGGCCTGGTGCCCCTGGGCCCTGACAGGACTGTAACGCCCCTGACAAGCCTGAAGTGTCCCCGGCAGGCACGTGGTGCCCCTGACAGGCCTGAGGCGCCCCTGCAAGGCCGGTGGTGCCCCTGGCAGGCCTGTGGTGTCCATGGCAGGCCTGTGGTGCCCTTGCTAGGCCTCTGGTGCCCCTGACAGGCTTGTAATGCCCCTGGAAGGACTGTGGTGCCCCTGGGCCCTGACAAGCCTGAGGTGCCCCTCACAGGCCAGAGGTGCCCTTGCTAGGCCTGTGGTGCCCCTGGCAGGCCTCTGGTGCCCCTGACAGGCTTGCGGTGCCCTTGGAAGGACTGTGGTGTCCCTGGGCCCTGACAAGCCTGAGGTGCCCCTGACAGGCCCGTGGTGCCCTTGTTAGGCCTGTGGTGCCCCTGGCAGGCCTCTGGTGCCCCTGACAGGCTTGCGGTGCCCTTGGAAGGACTGTGGTGTCCCTGGGCCCTGACAAGCCTGAGGTGCCCCTGACAGGCCCGTGGTGCCCTTGTTAGGCCTGTGGTGCCCCTGGCAGGCCTCTGGTGCCCTTGCTAGGCCGCTGGTGCCCCTGGCAGGCCTCTGGTGCCCTTGCTAGGCCGCTGGTGCCCCTGGCAGGCCTCTGGTGCCCCTGCACCCGGAGAGGACTGGTGCCCCTGAAAAGTCTGAAGTGCCCCTGACAGGCCCAAGGTGCCCCTGCGAGGCCGGTGGTGCCCCTGGCAGGCCTCTGGTGCCCCTGGCAGGTCTGTGGTGCCCCTGGCAGGTTTGTGGCGCCCCTGGCAGACCTGTGTTGACTGGTGCCCCTGCTAGGTCGCTGGTGCCCCTCACAGACCTGTGGTGCCGCTGGGCCTTGACAAGCCTGAGATGCCTGGCTATGACAGGCTCGTGGTGCCCCTGATAGACCAGTGGTGCCCTTGCTAGGCCTGTAGTGCCCCTGGCAGGCCTCTGGTGCCCCTGCTACCCCTGCGCCCTGAGAGGACTATGGTGCCCCTGAAAAGCCTGAAGTGCCTCTCGACAGGCCCGTGGTGCCCCTGGGCCCTGACAGGCCCAAGTTACCCCTGCGAGGTCGGTGGTGCTCCTGGCAGGCCTCTGGTGCCCCTGGCGGGCCTGTGGCGCCCCTGACAGGCCTGTGTTGACTGGTGCCCCTGCTAGGCCGCTGGTGCCCCTCACAGGCCTGCGGTGCCCCTGGAAGGACTGTGGTGCCCCTGCCCCTAGGGGTGCTCATGGGCCCAACAGGCCCGTTGTGCCCCTGACAGGCCTGTCGTGTATACTTGCTAGACCTGTGGTGCCCCTGCTTCCTGGCAGGCCTGTGGTGCCCCTGGCGGGCCTGTGGCGCCTCTACAAGGCCGTAGGTGCCCCTGACAGGTTTGTGGTGTCCCTGGAAGGACTTTGGTGCCCCTGACAAGCCTGAAGTGTCAAGGACAGACCCTTTAGACGCCAGGGTCAAGTTCGTCGGACTGACAACGATTTGCTTTCCTGATGACGTTCCTGGTAAGTACTCATTACTCAGCGTCCACAACATATATACACATAGCACATTCATATATACTTGCTTACAATTGGTAAATGTGGTTGTGGCTAAGAGGTAAGATACTGACTAAAAATAAAAAATAAAAATAAAAAACTGAAAATGGGGGCACCACCAAAATGAAGTGGACGAAATCCGTTGAGTTTTTAATTTTGGGTATAGGTAGGGGCACCACTTCGATTCATGACCCTCCCCTTGGAGTTTTCCTGGATCCGCCCCTGCTTATAGTATGATCGAGAGTCTCACAACTTGTATAAATGTATATCTCGGATTTTCTGAAGGGTCGCCTGAGATCAGGTCAGTCTCTCACCATTAAAAGTCAGGGGAATATGGAAATTGCTAGTTTGGTCCGGAAATGATATACAACTATCTCAAATTCTCAAGCACACGGAATCGTGATTTCATGCGCTCCTTGCAAGGTCTGATGCTTTAATTTTGCTTTGTTGATCTTGCGTGACGTCATTTATCACGTAACCAAGGGTATCAGTTTTTCGTCAATAACTCCCGATCAACTAAAGCTACCGAGTCGATAAAGCCACTAATGGACATGAAAAGACCTGCCGAATCGATTGATATGCAATATGACCTCCTTTGACCAGCTTCATGACCTGACGGGCTGTGACCTGACCTTGACCCGAGGTTAACACCTTAACCCGCGCGGGGCTGGGGTCTCCAGCCGAACGCGCGGGGCTGGGGGGGGTAAATTTTACCCCCCTGTTATCTCCCGAACTAACGGTCCGATTTAGAAAATTCAAACGCCAATCGAAAGATCTCATCACGAACTACTAAAAACATGTACTTAATTTAAAGTTTGAGGTCAAGGTCAAGGTCAGGTCAAGGGTACAAATTGCAAGTTTCTACAGTATCGGCCTTGCACCGTAGTTGCCGAAGAATGGAGTCATGGACTGAGACTGATCGCCCAAAACGTGTTCTTAGGCTACCAAGACAATATTCGTTGCATACAATATCATTCAGAGGTCAAGGTCAAGGTCAGGTCAGGTCAGGTCAGGTCACCAAAAAACAAAATATAGAAAAGGGCATGTGCGACACATGTTTTATGGGTCATTTTACTCATAGAATTCAATAGGCACACTCAATAAGTGATATGGACCACCTCTGGATGAATTTCAGGTCGAGGTCAGGTCAAGGTCAGGTCAAGTGAGGTCAAATTTTGAAGTTAGTTGTTAAGGCCTAAAAAGGTGTCTATCTGATGCAGTTTTTCACGGCGAATCGAATGGTGCTATTTTTGTTTCCGTACGAGGTCTAGAACTTCCAAAAAAGTCATTTTTCAAAAAAATTGTGTGTCGTGACGTCATAAAATTTTGAATAACTCCCACATTTTTGAACCGATTCTTCTAAAATTTGGTATGTAGGTGCACATAGACCACTTCTCTGACATATATTCCGGTTTTTTCGATAGACTCAAAATTTTGGATTTTATAATGATTTTCCCAAAAAAGTTAGTTTTTGAAAAAATTTAGGCCAAAATCCAAAATTTTCAAAAAACCGAGATAGCCATTTGATAGACAAAGTAAAATTACGTATAACCTTTTTCGTTACATCTTGATTCCTTTAAAAATGAAGATGTTAGCGGCGTTTGAACTTTTGCCGTTTTTGAGGCGAAAATGACGAACATGACGTCACTAAAACGTCAATTTCTCAAAAATTTTCCGACGGATTTCGCTCAAATTTCCAGGGAACGTGTCAAATTGATGTAAGAAAAGGTACTGAAAGTTTGGCGGCGCTGCGCGCCGCCGTTTTTGAGATATCGCAAAAATTCGCGAGGGGGGTAAAATTTACCCCCCCCAGCCCCGCGCGGGTTAACTCTCGCCCATATTGGTGTTTTTCCAGCCGCAAACGTATAAGGGGGGGGTCCGTTGGACCCTCCCTTGCCGTTTCGCCCCTGATCGAGCTAGATCTTCGCGGAAAAAACGAGCGTGTTGGCCGTGACGAGAGGAAGTCGATGATACCCAATTTTAAGGTCCTAGGTCATCGGTTGACTTTCCAGGTCAGGTCAATGACCCAAAGGTCGGGAAAATCGGGCCTGTTAGAAAGTTGTAAAGCG